CACCACCACGTCAACAACAACAACAATAACAACAATAACAACAGCAACAACCACTACTACCACTGCCACCACCACTGCGACCACTACGACTACTACAACGACGACGACAACGACTACCACTATTATTACCATGACTGCTACTATTGTTGCTCCCACCACCAATAGAAGCCACCACCACCACCACGACTAGTACTCGTACTAGTACTAATACCACCACCACCACCACCACCACGACTACTACTACTACTACTGCTACTACCACCAGTACTACTACCACCACCTGCACCACTACTACTGCACCACCACCACCACCACCACTACTACTACTACTACCATTACTACTACTACTACTACTACTACTGCTACTGCTTCTACTGCTACTACTACTACTACTACTACCATTACGATTACCACTATCACTATTACCACGACCACTACTACTACTGCCACGACGATTATTACCGCTAGTAGTACGACTACTATTACTACTACCACTACTACTACTACTACTACTACTGCTACTGCTACTGCTACTGCCACTACTGCTGCTACTACTACTACTACACTACCATTACGATTACCATTATCACTATTACCACCACCACTACTACTACTACTACTGCTACGACGACTATTACCGCTAGTAGTACTACTCCTACTACTACTACTACGACTACTGGTACTGATCGTATTATTGTTTTTCTGTATCATTTCCACTATGACTATCACTACTACGACTACTACTACGACCACCAATTGCTACCATAAGTTGTTCTGTTAGTTGGACCTTTCCGCCGACATGACGTTTGTCTAAGCGAGTCTATCCTCGGCGAACCTAGCGCAGCGGCCACCGGCTTAGCGGCTGTAGCGTAGCGGGCCACGGGGCTGCCGAGGGCCGTGCTGGTCACCGGCTGCTGCACCGCAACGGCCAAACCGCCCACCTACTGTTTCCAGACGAACTATTACACTAGTCAGCGTCAGACTTGTGCGTCCGAGGGCGGTTTTTGGAAATTCACGCGATGAAAAACTGTTGAGGAGGCACGACAGGTGGGTTAGCCAAGCGATCCATGTTGAAGATTTCCGTGCAGCACGTATGTACAACGCCGAGCAGAAAAAACTTGGAGCACACAACCGCGGCACCACTTTGCAACCTCCATGACTGCAAACAATTGATCGGCAACCCAATGCAGAGCATGTGTTGCGAGGTGGTAAGCCTGTTCTTGTTGTGTGAAACAAATCGTTGACCATGATGCACATCCAGCCGCAACGTGTGAGAAGAGTCATGGGAGCAGGTGTTCGACATCGCTCCCGCATCGCCGGTTGCAGCGTGCTGGCGACCTGTTTCAAGAGCAAAACAGGCGTTGACAAAAAATCCCGTGAGTTGTTCGACAAAACAAAACAAAATACATGCCATGGGCCATCCCCCAAAATGCAAGCAGGCTCGCCCCCGATTTGGCGAACCAGATGTATGGCCACGGCTATGACTTGATGCGAAGCATGCTTTCGGTGTAGGTGCACGGAAGGTTTTCAGCGATATACGTGTCGGTTCGACATTCGAAGGGGTTTGCCAACACAAGAAGTCTTACAGTCGCTCCAGGATGCGTTATTGGATCACCTCGCCGCATACCCTCGCTCCGGCGTTTTGCGTGCCGGAGGTGCCCCACTACAGCATGTTGCAGCGCGTGTGTGCCATGAAGCTGGTGTTATTGTTGCAACCAACACATACCGCCGGTGTGATGGGGCCGATGCCATGGGATATCTGAGTCACCGGTGGCGGGCGGCCGTGGCAACTACGAGCGTTCAATTGTTGTGCTTGCTTCTTTCAACAAGTCGTCTTATGGGGGAACGCTGGAAAATCACAAACACTCGTGGAACACGAGGCCAGGCCCTTTTGCACACGTCCCGGTTCCAGGTTCCAGGAATTGCCCGCCTTTTTGTGCATTGATTGTTCCGCAGCCGTGACGTCCTAGCATTTGGCCGAACTAACCCAGAAGTTTGATCGAAGATGATGTTTGAACTGCAACAACGTCGATCATACTTGTCTGAATCTCGTTGGTACTCGGGACCCCTTGATTCAAAGCACGGGCACATCACGGGAAGAACAACTGAAAAAACTCTGGCCTTAATGGCCTGCATGGCGTATTTCGTGTTTAATTAAATCTTCACATCAGTTGATGACGCCATGGCCATCAGCGACACGCAGATCCAAGATTATTGGCTGCAGTCGCAAGGGTTTAGTCTGGACATGAGAACGAGCCGGCATTGTGAACCTAGCCCACCCCACGTTGGGCTGATGCTTCGGTCAGCTGGTTGATGAACCGCAATGTTTCAGCTACAGGTAAGTGTGTGGCATGGTTTGTCAACAATTCCACCAGGAAGAAATGCTGGCCGCGATCACGGCCAAAGCATTGCCGGTGGTTGCTGCTGCGTGCACGGAGGTGTTCTTCCGTGGGGGCAACGGGGCTTCTTGCGTCAATGTGCGCTAGGATTCAGCTGCCGGTGGGACTGGGTAGGTGGTTGCAAACAGGTTTGCTCGCGACACCTGGCAGCACTGCACCAGCAGCTGCAACAGCTGCGGTTCCTCCAGCAACAGGCCGCAGTTTCGTGCATTCATGCCTTGCTACGGCAATGTTTCGTGTCACGGAGTTGCGGTGTTGATGCAGGTGCAACAGCTCCAGGCCCAGGCCAACTTCCAGGCAAAGTTGTGGGCGTTTCATTCCGTTCTTCGGAAGTATTGTCGCATTGTCAGTCTGGTTGAATCAACCCGCGGTTGCAAATATCCTCAGGCCCAAGATCAACGCCAATCTTGGCCAGCATCGAGGACTACATCATGAGTTCATGCCGGATTGATAGATGGATGCATCCATTATGCTGTTGTTGTTGCTGCTGTCGCTGTTGTTGCTGCTGCTGCTGCCGTTGTTGTTGTTGTTGTTGTTGTTGTTGTTGTTGTTGTTGTTGTTGTGGGTGTTGTTGCTGTTGTTGTTGTTGTTGTTGTTGTTGTTGTTGTTGTTGTTGTTGTTGTTGTTATGGGTTGTTGGTTGTTGGTTGTTGGTTTTGTTGTTGTTGATTGTGATTGTTGTTGTTGTTGTTATTGTTGTTGTTGTTGTTGTTGTCGTTGGTGTTGTCGTCGTCGTTGTTGGTGCCGTTGTTGTCGTCGTTATTGTTGTTGTTGTTGGTGGTGGTGGCGGTGTTGTTGGTGTTGCTGTCGTTGTTGCTGTTGTTGTTGCGGTTATTCTTGTTGTTGTTGCTGCTGTTGTGGTGGTGGTGCTGGTGGTGGTGGTGGTGGTGGTGGTGTTGTTGGTGTTGTTGGCGTCATTGGTATGGTTGGTATGGTTGGTGTTGTTGCTGTTGCTGTAACTACTACTTGTTGTTGTTGTCGTTGTTGTTGTGCTTGTGGTTGTTGCTGTGGTTGTTGCGGTTGTGGTTGTGGTTGTTGTTGCTGTTGTTGTTGTTGTTGTTGTTGCTGCTGCTGATGATGTTGTTGTTGTGCTTGTGGTTGTTGCGTTTTTTTGTTTTTGTTTTGGTGTTGTTGTTGTTGGTGTTGCTGTTGTTGTTGTAGTTGCTGCTGCTGCTGATGATGATGTTGTTGTGCTTGCGGTTGTTGCGTTTTTTTTGTTTGGTGTTGTTGTCGTTGTTGTTGTTGTTGGTGGTGTTGCTGGTGTTGCTGTTGGTGTTGTTGTTGTTGTTGTTGTTGTTGTTGTTGGTGTTGTTGGTGTTGTTGTTGTTGTTGTTGGTTGTTGGTTGTTGGTTGTTGGTTGTTTGTTGCTTGTTGCTTGTTGCTTGTTGCTTGTTGCTTGTTGCTTGTTGCTTGTTGTTGTTGGTGTTGGTGTTGGTGTTGGTGTTGTTGTTGTTGTTGTTGTTGTTGTTGTTGTTGTTATTGTTGTCGTTGGTGCTGTCGTTGTGGCTGTTGTTCTGGTAGTTGTCGTTGTTGTTGTTCTGATCGGGGTTGTGGTTGTGGTTGTGTTTATTGTCCTTGTCGTTATGGTTGTGGTTGTTGCCGTCGTCGTTGTCGTCGTCATTGTTGTTGCTGTTACTGTTGTTGTTGTTGTTGTGGTTGCCGTTGTCCTTGTGATTGTGCTTGTGGTTGCTGTTGTTGTTGTTGTTGTTGTTGTTGTGGTTGCATTTGTGCTTGCACTTGCGCTTGTGCTTGTTGTTGTTGTTGTTGTTGTTGTTGCTGTTGTTGTCGTCGTCGTTGTGGTTGTTACATGGCATGCGTTTCCGAGTTATATGTGCGTTTCTGCGTTGGTAGGAGCAGCCGTTCTGCATCTCCTCTGCGGCGAGCTCTCGAGATGGGATCTCGGTGCTGAATCGTGTGTTGCAATACCACTAACCGCTGCGGTTTCAACTGCGCAGCAGCAACTGACAGGTTCACCACGAATTCGAACGCTGCGCTGCCCCTGAGCCCGGACAGCTAAGGGCATCCTCTTGTTATGCAGACTCGGCCGCATTCACTGGTGTGCAGCTCTTGTTTTGGGATAGAACCTTCCAGTAGAAAGGTGGTTGGTTGGTTGCAGTGTTCCTGCTCGCATTGAATGCCGCTTAAGCCGTCAACTTTGTTGTGAGGAGCTGGATTCGTCGCCTTTCAGCCCCCAGCTCGGCAATTCCAGCAGAGATTTGTGGCAGAGATGTCAACCTGGTGTGGTGTTGCTGCGGGCACAGCGAACGGTTTCTTGAAACACATGCCGCAACCAAAGAAGCAGGATCGTCCACGAGTTTTGCCTCCGAATATTTTGCCTGAATAAAAGTGTGTGCTAGCAGCACACGCCTTTCGTAGTTAGCGAGTCCCGAGGCCTAAGCGGTGGCTTGACACCGATCACCCCTTATCCGGACACAGACGGGACTGACAAGGCCCAGTGTTTCAATAGCCACCTGCATGTTTCAGGGGCCTGCGTCATTAGATTATGAACTTGCGGTTTAGCATTGCAACACTATGTCGGGACTGTAAGTATGAGTCGACCCCCGCTTGCCATTACAAGTCGAAGCCGGCAGCCTTCTGGCAGGTCCTCCATGTCATGAAACGCGTTCGCAGCGCAGTGAGACGGTCGCCAGCAGCCTACATAGCAAAAATGTGCAGAGCCGCATGTTCTGAAGCTTCATGGACTTCTCATTTTAGTGAAGATGAGTCAAGTGGGTGTTGCCCGTCATAAGACACATGCGCATTCCACGGTCTTTCCTCAACCACCCCTAACCCCCCAGGTACTTACTATATACGGTACTAGAGCCCCTAGAGCCCTATATAGTAGGTACCTGGGGGGTTAGGGCACTACATGCCACTTCCTGAGGCGTCAAAGCCCTGAGCAGCTTTTCAAGCGTTTCTGCAAGGCCGGAGGCGCCGGTGTGCCTGGGTTGCATTGCGGATTCCCAGAGATTCCTCAAGCTCCCTGAGCACGGGATATACCAGGACCCCCAATGGCCCTTTAATAGAGCCCTTAGGGGCCTTAATTGTGGGTATTTGGGCTATAATAGAGGGTAGTTGGGGGGTCTAGGTAGCTTGCATTACTATTAGGGTGGACTCTTTGATGTGATTAAAGGGCATATGATATTCCTCAATTAAGGCGTTTTGGAGATTCTGGGGAGTCCTTTGCCAGTTGCCTTCGAATTCACGTTCACAGGCCGCAGGTATCCGCAGATATCCGTAGGCTCCTTGACGCCCCACATCAATAAACATTTATTTAGATAGTATATGCCCAAAGCCTGATAAGAGAACCCGAATTGCAAGCACCCCCGCCGTTTCGGGAGGTGTGCTTTAGGTTTTATAGATCTCCTAAGCTGACGTTTGGACCTTCGGGTTTCGGGCTTGGCGTCTATATGGTGTCAAAAGGGGCAAAAGGGTTTAGGGTTGGGGTTTGTCTGGGCTTTATGCCCATGTAGGGATCCAGGGCATGGTGCCTTCCAGCCCCTGCTCAAATGGGCTCACACTTTCTCCCGAGGTGTCCGGACCCATCATGACGAGATCGGATTTCATTCGCGTGTCAGCAGCCCAGGCAAAAACAGTGCTTTGGAAGTGGTGCGAATATAACAGCGAGGTCCGGCATCCTTTTACATATGGAGCCTGAGCTTGGCTAGTAAGAGCAGGGTATAGTTCGGAATATGTAATAGCTTAGCAGCCATACATGGATTATGAGCTGATGTTTTGGTCATTCATTGAAACCTTTGCAAAGTTATTGGTGCTGGGGATTTCTGACTGCCTGGCATACTGAGTCTCGAGACTGCAAGGGTCATGGCATCATGCCTGAGGCAAGTGTTAGACAACACAATGCCCCTCTCCATGCATAGAGGCGCAACTCCTGTGATGCCTACGAGTATTCCTGCGGGTAGAACGATCAAGAGAATGTATTGCTGAATTCTCCCAGGCAGCCCGATCCCTAAACACCCGAACCCCTAGACCCTACACACCTCTCCCGGCACGTGCAAGTTGTGACAGTCGAAACACGACGAGACTCCATACGATAACCGTGCTGCCCTGTGCAGCATGCTACTACAGCCTCTATGTGCCGCCTCATCTGAGCGGAAAAAGCTCAGGTGGAATGCACATGTTGTCGATCAAGGCCAAACTCCCTAATACACAAAATGTCAGCGCACTTATTGAACAACTGCTTGCTGCCTCGTTTTGCCTACCTGCCTGCTGCGTCAAAGCATAATGCAATAGGGAGGCCTCTGCCCTAAACATGTAAGCCCCAACCTTTACATCCGAAACCCTAAACAGCCCAAAACACCCCTAACCCTCCAGGTACCTACTATGTAGGGCCTTAGGGCTCTAGTACCCTATGTAGTAGGTACCTGGGGGGTTAGGGCCCGAATAACACCTAAATCCGACCCTGAAGCCTCTTCCCGAACACCTACCTCTGAGGCTGGGGACCTTTGAGCCCAACTTGGAGCAGGTGGGCGGGAGAATCTCCGACAGAGTAGGGTTTAGGGTTTAGGGTTTAGGGTTTAGGGTTTAGGGTTTAGGAGAATCTCCGATAGAGGTTTGGGCGTGTAGAAACCTGACAGAAGCCTTATAAAACCTACAAGAACTTGGCAAGATGTGGGGCTAGGTTCTTCCTTCAGCTACTTCAGATCGACCCAAGAATAGCGACAAACGAAAACACGCCAAGAGGCCTGGGCATGCTGCTATGAAGGGTCTGAACTCATGGAATACTTTCCAGCACCCGAAGCCCAAAAGATATGAGCAAGCGATGCGGGCCACACAAGGACCATAACCCTAAGCCCTCAAAACCCCACACTGCAAAAATCCCAAACCCAGCGAAACCCGCAACCCAAGACCAGAACCCCAGCATTCCCCAATTCAGGGGTTTCAAGACTTTAGGGCTTTAAGGGTTCAGGGTTCAGGGGCATTTAGGGTTTAGGGTTTCTTCAAGGTACTATTTTGGGGCTCCTTCATTATATGATTCTAAAAGACTATACCACCAAAACCCCTATTCTAATTATTGAGGCCCCCACACCTAATGTAGGGGCCTATAATGATTACCTGTACTATTTTGGGAGCTCCTTACTTTGGTTTTTATTTAAACCCCAAAACCCTAGTCTAATTAGTTTAATTATTAATTACGGCCCCCACACCTACACCCAGGTCCCAGGATCCTCCAAATAGATCCCAAGAGCTGCAGCAAACACCACCTCCCACTCCAAGGTCGGGCCAGGGAGGAACTCCTGAACCCTATAGAGTTTAGGGGTTTAGGGGTTTACGGTTTAGGGGGTAGTAACCCCTAAACCCTAAACCCCTGAACCCCTAAGCCCTAGTTTGGGGTTTGGGGTTTCGGGTTTAGGGCTTTGTGCATTGCAGTCCCTGCTAAAAAAAAAGGTTTAGGGTTTATAAAAGCTCTTGAACCCTTAGCCCTTGGACCAGGAGATGGTCCTCCGACTGTGGCAGCACTTGGTGTCTCAAGGCTGGGCGACGGTTGGATGGCAGAGCCTCCCCTTAGGCGCCATAGTAGTTCCTTGTTGGGATTGCCTTATTTTAGGATTCTAAATATGAACTCCAAAAAGGAACTACTATGGGGCCTATGGGTACAGGGCCTATAGGAAGCCTGGAAAAATGCCTCCTTAAGTATAATGTCTGAGGCCCAATAGAACTGCCTCCGGGTTGGTAAGAAGAGAGAGAGGGAGAGAACAAGCAAGAGATACAGATAGAGAGAGGGAGAGGCGCTGGCAGAGACATAAGGCATATACTCTGATAGACAGACAGGCGGACGAAAATAATGAGGGGAGAGACGGAGAGAGAAAGAGTGATTGACAAAACTGCTCCGGAAACCGAATGGACAGATGCATGGCCAGATCAGGAAGGAGTGGATGCGAAGACCAGCTGTGGCTGCAGTTTGTTGCTCTTGTCATCCTTTTCTGGTCGTTTCAGCCTTGTCTGGTGGGTATTGCGGGTCTGTCAGCACAGAAGAAAGGCAGTGGAGATGACGGCCTCAACTTCGCCGAATTCCAGCGCTGGTTCGTAAATGGGGTTCAAGCCCCAGCCGAAGTGGGTTTGTACACAGGACTTTGATGAGTGAATTCTTCTGTCATGGGAAAGTAATTCAAGACCTGTATCAGAAACGAAATGCGAGCAACTAATTATAGGGTTTTGTAAGTTTGGTGGAGTTAGCGGAATTATATGGGGTGTTGTACGAAGTAGGGTATTGTAGGATTAGTTTGAGAGTTTAAACGATATTACAAAGCAGTTTTGGGAAAGGTTTTGGGGATTTTCGGGCTTGTGGGGTTTCGAAATTTAGGACTTCTTGTAGCATGACAAAACGCTACGGAAAAGGTTTATTTCGATGGGCTCAACCCTTAACTGGTGTGATCGTCAATACTCCGGGAAGCCGGGTTTAGACTTAGATTTTAGGGTTTAGGGTTACCCCTGCCACAGCCCGATTGCAAGCGCTTCGCGACTGCTGCATGTACTCCCCCGAAGCCCATCCGCAAAACCTCGAGCTGGCATGACCCCTAAACTCCCTAAAACTTCCGCTCCACGCTTGCCTAAAATCCTGGATCCTGGACCTCAGTCTAACCCTGAACCCTGAACCTAGAAGCCAAACATTATCCCTAAGCCTCGAAACCCTGATTCTGTAAACCCTGGCCCTAATCCCGAAACCCTGAACCCTAAACCGTGCAGCTTACACGAACTTCGATCGCACAGTCCTGGCTGTGTTTCACCTCAGCCCACCTGGCTTGTCCAAGCGTGAGCGCCGAAACTCTGCACCCGAAGCCTGACATGGGCAATTCTTTGAATTAGGCCCCCCAATAGCACGGCACCCTTCAAAAAAGGACCCTAAAAAGGACCCTAATTTAGAGAACGACCCATATTGAAGCCTTGTAGAAACCCTTATTATAGACCCCTCTAAGGAACCCGCCCTAGTTTAGAGAGTCCCCCCCCTCAGAAATCCTAAAAAGAGTCCTAAAACTTTTCATCCGAAGCCCCCGAAGTCCAAGGAGGGCTTGGGCACTTTATCGAGGACTACAAGCCAAGCTCTTAGCAACTCTTGAGCTCTTTAGTAGGCATCGGAGCGGTTTTGGGAGCCAGTTCCACCAGGGTCCCTTTCCCATTGGCCATTGGAGCTGCAGAACCAAGAGTTTGCAGTTTTTGTTGGCAGCCATGCTGATCCGGAGAGCTCTTCCTTTCTTTAGGTTTGACGGGGTTCGTGGTTTAGGGGATTGACTGTGTTTGCGTCGTTGGGGTTCTGCGGTACTTGGCGGTTTGTGGGGTTTTGGGTGCTCCAGTCTGTGGGTGAAAGGGCCAAGGCCCTAAACCCTAAACCCTAAACTAAAGGTCGTGTTTGGTGGTGAATTGGTCTCCTGCTGATCCCTTTTTGCGGTTTCCGTGGTTCTTGCTGTGGTGGGGTGCTGGTGGCTGTCACTGTCGTTGTCGTGTTTGCTGATGTTTGTCGTTGTGGTGATTGTGGATGTTGTGCTCGCGGTGGTTGTGGTTGTGATGGTGCTGGTTGTCATTGTGGTGGTGGTTGTGATTGTGTTTGGCAGATTGAGGTTGGGGTTGTGGAATTGTCTGTGTGTGTGTGTGTGTGTGCGTGTGCGCGTGCAGGTGTCTCTGTGTGTGCGTGCTTATTAAGTGTATGCGTGTGTGTGTGTGTGTCTGTTTGATTGTTTGTTTGTTTGTTTGTTTGTTTGTTTGTTTGGTTGGTTGGTTGGTTGGTTGGTTGGTTGGTTGGTTTTGTTTGTGTGTGTGTGTGTGCGTGTGTGTGTGTGTGTGTGTGTGTGTGTGTGTGTGTTTGTTTGTTTGTGAGTTGTCGTCGTGGTCGGTATCGTACGAGCTGATGTTGCTGCTGTCATGTGGCAATGTGCTGCTGTTGTTGTTGTTGTTGTCGTTGTTGTGATCGCGACTAGTTGTTTTCGTGGTCGTGGTACAGGTTCTGGTGATGGTAGTGGTAATGGTGGTTTGTTTTGCACGCTGCTAAACAAAAGGTGTACATAGTTCTCTTGCAAAAACAAGCTCGTAGTATGCAGACCCGATGCCCGCAATTTTGAGCCTATTAGCTCGTCGTTGCGTTGGATATAGATTTCGGTGCTTTAGCCTTTACGGTGTCGTTCAGATGAGGCTGCACGGCGTGTTGTTGTTTTGTGTGCGCGTGTGTGGGATGCTGGGGGTGAGGTAGAGTCCGGGGATGAGGATGCACCGTCTGGCGCAACGTGCGCAAGGAGCTGGAGGAAAGAGTCGAAAACTCTTTCGTCATAGCGGACACCCGGACGCGCACCAGCCCTCAAAATCACTGAAAAAACCTTCCCGAACTTTGCATCCTGGACCTTCCGCACCAAGACTGTCAGAAGACCGCAGCAGTGGATTCTTGCATGGCCTCGCTGTGATGATGGGCTGTAAAATGGAATCCCAGGTGGAAGCCGCTTGCAAACATCCTTCACCTAAAATCCCCACCTCAAAGCCTCCACTCTGAACCCCGACACCCCAACTCCAATCAAACCGGAAAGCCCGAAATTCCAGACATTGCAACCTGATTACAGCCTAACCTAAACCTTTATGTCTGCGATAGCACAAGTTCGACACCTCACCCATCCTGAAACCCAACACCCCTAGACCTAAAAAGTCCGACACCTTATATGGGCAGTTGTCAAAATTATGGTCCCTTTTGGGGTACCCTAAATAATAGGTGCCGTATTATAATAAGGACCCAAAAAGGGACCATAATTTTGACAACTACCCATATGCAAGACGTCGAGGCAGCTCGACATCCCTGGCTCTCTCCGGCAACGGCATGGTCTCTTCCCCACTTTTTGTCTACTTGTATTTCCATTCCAAGGCTGCTGTCGTGTAGCTGTATATATGTGTATATGTCTGTATGTATGTGTATATGTAAGTACACATGAATGTACAAATGTGTTTGTATGTATATGTATGCCTATGCATGTTACTGCATGTTTATGCACAGGAATCTGCATGCATATGTATAGTCATATGTATATATGGATACATTTGTATACGTATCTAGTGTCCGAGATGTAGGGTTTGGGGGATTCGAGGGTCTCTGGATATGGAGAAAGGGTTAAGGGGTTTAGCGTCGAAAGATTTGGGGCCTGGTGGAATTGACAGCAGGGCCGTAACTCCACAACTGAGGAAGGCGGCTACCTTGATGCTGGCGATCGTCCCTCGCTGTGGTCCCAGAGGGGTTCATGTCAGAGTCGTCTAGTGTGGGAAGGGTAAGGTTTCGGCTGGGGGCCTCATTCTGATGCCCGTTCCGCGCACCGCCCTCCTGGGAACACGCTTGACCTGCATCGTGTTAGGTGAAAGCTGCTGTCACCGTTATTTGTGAGCTGCTTATCTGATTATCCTTGTTGAAAACCACGAGCCAGCAAGGAAGAAGTTCGAGTAATTGGAGCACTGCGGCGTGGGGTTCAGTGATTCATGAATCAGGATATGCCTCCGTTGGCTTGATCTTATGGAGGTTGTGAAAAAGTCCGTGCAAGTTCAGACGGAGATGCATGGCACCAGTGGCACTAAGAACAACAAGCTATGACCCAAACCCTGAAGCCCACAGTAAACGCTAATAGCTGAAGCCTGAAACCTAAACCGGGTTCTTGTTAAGGGAT